CAGCGTATATTTCGAGGGTATATTTCGAGCGAACAGCAAACTGATATTCTCAATAATCCAGCCCATACCTGGTCCCATTGAGCCGCATAATACTTGAATGTGCAAGTTTCTCGAACAACGAACGCATCGTCCTTCTTGAGTAGATCTCCTGCGGCTTGAACAGCTCTTCCATAAAGTTCTTGTTGAACATCGTATAAAGAATATCACTCAACACCTTTGTACTTTTACTCAGACCAACATTCTGTGCCTACAATACATGCTCGTACATAATTCTAAAATTTTGGTTATCTCGATGAACACAGGAAATTTAACTGGTTATGATGCTAGCAAAGAATTGAAAAGAAAATTTAAGTGATGCTGGAATTATCTCTGAAAGCTCATCAGCGGTAATAATTAGCGGTAATAACCTGAAGTCGTTGATGTAAAATATAAGCCATTTCACCACTCATATTAATGAATAAAATTGGCATACACTTTAATGACATTCTGCTGGTTTCACCAACGGTTCGGAATACCTATGACTGAATTTATTATTCCTTACCAAACGCCTACCTCATCAGGCATAGACGAAGTTCATTTTGCACTGATTGTGAGTATAATCACACGGCTGAATTCAACTTTTGCATGAGCCCATAATGGAGTTTCTCGCGTTTTTATGTCTCGAGTATTTTCGAATCATTTTATCGTGAGTGAATTTGAGTGAATTTCCGAGAATTCCCCGATTCACTTCACTTTTCGATAGAAATTTTCAAGGATGAATACTGATGAGTGCACGCAAGCGATCACATGTCCTTTATAATGAGCGAATCGCGAAAAAAGTTTTAACAACAAAACGAAATCGTCATTTAAGTCAGAACTCTCGATAAAGTAAGAGAATGAAACAGTATTATGGCATTGTTTCAGCTTATAGCGCAAATTGTCCAAGAAAGCAGTGTGAATTATGGCATTCACAAAATAATGAAATTCTAGTGATTTTATTTTAAAATGTTGAATGCACAACACTGGATACGTATTGCGAAAAAGTGGTTTCCATAGTGACATTGAGCTGGATTCTATATTCATCATTCCATTTCTTTGATATTCAAGTAACAATTGTATCATTCGTATTATCGATTCAAAATATATTAATGATACTATGAGATGCAATCTAATGTATTCAGTATCACATTTTGTTGCGCATGTAATCTTTTGATAC